CGAATAATTCTGTTTTTAGATAAATGATATGGGTTCATCATTGAACAATTCAAGAAATATAGAGAAGAATAAAAATAATTGCCAAAAATTCATGCAGTCATTATCTTGAAATAACCACTATCGCATGAGATTCATTCAGGAGTATTCCTGTAGGTCTGCAGGGAGGAGTGGTTGGCAAATAACTTCCTGTTAAGGAACAGTACAGTACCTGTGGTTTCCTGTAAAATGGTTGACTGTAATGTGAACTTAAAATAATAAGAAGAAGCTGAGGTGACATAAGAATTGCTGAACATAGAATAATTATTTCTTCACCCCAAAAAGCAGTTGCTAAAATCTCCCTAGAAAATAAGAGAGTATTAAGAAGTTGGAATCACTCTTAACTTTAAAAAAAAAATTTCTATTTTAGATGATTTTGATTGACACCCTGCCATGAAATCAAAAGTAAATTGTCATCCTTCAGCCTATTTCCTTGTTTTCCCTTCTCCCAAGTTTCTTTTAGGTGTTTTTCTTTTTTTTTTTTTAGATGATCAGAGCTTTTATTATTCTCATCCTATATCCATATTCCTTCCATTGTTTCCACTCACTGCTACAGCTAATAGACTCACTGCCTCTTACCATGGTCCTTCTGTCCTGAGTTTGTTATTTTGTTTTGTTACCTGGTTGGATGTGTTTTAACAGCAAGTGCTTTTTTGCAGGAGGACCTCAGGGGTGTCAGCTTTCTTAAGTTTTTGAAAACTGAATTGCCTTCTGAATTCTCATGCCACCTTGCAGTTGAAACCTGTGTGGTCTCCTTCAGTTCCAGCTCCTAAGGAGGAAATCTCTTTCCTCTACCCCCCCATCTCCTCCCCCGATCATCTCCTTTGAGACTTCTTTATCCCGTTCTTCCCATCTGAATGATCACCCGCTATAAGCTGAACTTTTGACTTATTTACTTATTTATTTCCCTGAACTGGGGATCGAACTCAGGACCTTGCGCTTGCAATGCAGGTGCAGTGTGACATATTTATTTAAATGATGTTCATTGACCCAGAGTCATTTCGGTGTCCATCCTGGTTTTCTGTTAAGAACGAAGTTGAGGAAGGGTTATTAGTTGAAGAGCATTAAAGAAATCGGGAACACACTTGTGCTTCTTTCTCACTGTGATCTTGCTTTCTGTCATCTCATCTGTCGTAAACTTCCATATCACACGTAAAGGTCTCTTCTTTCTTCTTCCATGCCTCTAATGTATGGTGCACTGAACAGATGTACCATGTCTAATTTGGCACTGTCAAAGGCATTTAGGTCATTTCTAGACATTTTATCATTAGTAACTGAGCTGCAGTAAAGAGCTTTCTGTCAGTGCCATTTTTTTCAGTGTTTATTTTTTGTAGTGCATGTTTGCGGTACATAACGATTACATTCCTCCTGGGGAGTGGCCGTGTGCGCGACACATCTCAACTCTTTCTTTCATCCCCTTCCCATCTCTTAATCTTCCCATATGAAAAAGATGTAGCTCCCTACATCCTATTATCTAGTTTTTATTTTGCTCATTATTTATATTTTGGGTTTCTCATATAAGAGAAACTATGTGATATTTAAGCTTGTTTGTCTAGTTTTTTTCATTTAACATTATGGAATGCTTTCTCTCTAAAATTAGGATCATGACAAGGATATCTACTATGACTGCTCCTGTTTAACATAGTCCTCTTAACATTAGCCAGGGCAGTCAGGAAAGAGAAAGAAATAAAAGAGATGTGTCTAGGAAAGGAAGAAGTTAAATGATACACACGATCCAAAAATTTCCACAAAAGGCTCCTAGAATTAATAACTAAATTCAGCAATGTAGCCCGATACAAAATCAACAAATAAAAATCAGTAGTGCTCCTGTACACCAACAATGAACTCACTAAGAAAGAAATTAGGGAAACAATACCATTCACAATAGCAGCCAGAAAAATTATTAGGAATTAACCAAAAAAGTGAAGCACCTCTATAATGAAAACTACAGTACTCTGAAAAAGGGGATCAAAGAGGGTGTCAAAAAATGCAGAGATATTGCCTGTTCTTGGATAGGCAGAACCTAAATATTCAAAATGGCCATATTTCTAAAACTGACACACAGATTTAATCCCAATCAAAATATCAGCAGCATTCTTCACAGAATGGAGAATATAATCCTAAGATTGATATGGAACCAGAAGAGTCCCAGAAGAGCAAAGCAGGAGGCATTGTAATCCGGAATTTGAAGTTGTATTTTAAAGCTACAGTGATAAAACCAGCACGGTACTGGCACAAAAACAGACCAGTGGATCCGTGGAACAGAATAGAGGATGCAGAAATAACCCTGGACACATTCAGCTATTCAGTCTCTGACAGAGGGGCCAAAAACATGCACCAGAGGAGGAAAGAGAGCAGATTTTCCCAGCACCATTTACTAAAGAGGCTATCTACATGCAGAAGTTTAAATCTAGACCCATATCTCTCACCATGTGCTAAATTAAAATCAAAATGGATCAAGGATCTGAATGTTAAAACAGAAGCCCTTAACCTCTGGAAGATAAAATAGGTAAAACTCTTGAAGACATGGGTGTGGGCAAGGACCTTCTGAACAGAACCCCAATGGCACAAGAAAGAGCACCAAGAATCAACACATGGAATCCTATCAAATGGAAAATGTTCTGCACAGCAAAGGGAATAACTAACAGCGAAGAGGTGGCCTACAGAATGGGAATAGGAAAACATTTTTTTCCATTTATTCCTCAGACTGAAGACTACTATCTGGAATATATAAAGAACTCAAAAAATGGATGCTATTTTTACAGCATCAATTCCTAGAATGAAATTTTGGTGTCAGAGCATACATTGTTTCAATGTGAAATACTGTATAGACTCAGAAGGCATTTGCACCATGCATGTAATGAATGGAGAGTTAAAGTGCACACTCGTGTACCTGGCGTTTACACCCGAGCACTGCCAGGGCCTTTGCCTGTCCTAGTACATCTCCTTCTCTTTCCCCTGTGCAGGAAATGTGTTCCGAATTCCATATTTGTTACTCTCTTGTTTTTTTGTTAGAGTTAATATATATTTCTGAAATGTTAACATGTTAAGATTTGTACTTTTTGTTGTTTGTTTTTCTGTAGTACTGGGGATTGGACCCAGGACCTTTACACTGACCTACATTCCAAGCCCATTTTTAAAATTTTCAGTGAGACGAGGTCTCACTAAGTCATAGAGTTGTCCAGGCTGGGCTCAAACTTGTGATCTCCCTGCTTTAGCCTCCCAGAGTGCTAGAATTACAGGCATGCATCACAGTTTTATTTCTCACCTGTTTATCAATTGTATCAATTTTTGTGTTTCTGTGCAACTTGCGCTTTTAACATTGAAGTTTCTGATGCGCCTGCATATTGATGCCTAAAGCTCTAGTTTATTAGTTTTCCCTGCTGAATAATATTACATTGTATGAATCTACCATAGTGAATCTCTTCCTGGAACATGGATATGAGGGTTGTTTCTGATATTTGGCTGTTAACATTCAGTACTTTCAGAGCATTCATTCCCAGTCTTGCTAGGTTTCTTTTAGCGCATACATGTAAGTTTCTTGGGAAAGTATTCCAAAGACTAGAACTGGTAGGCTACGTAGCATGCCAGTTTTAATTAGGCAGCTTCTTAAAATTGAAACATAAGGGCAGGGTATTTAGCTCAGTGGTGCCATACCTTTTTTGCAAGTGCAAGGTCCTGAGTTCGATCCCCGGTACTGGGAAAAAAAAAAATTGAAACAACATTCAAACAGAAAAATGCACAAGTCAAAGTCATAGCTCAGTGAGTTTTCACAAAGCCTCCATTTATCTTGCCCCCAGTATAGAAGCCAAAAGACCCACCAACCCCTCCAGTTGTGTTGTGTCCTGTCACAGTTTCCAACCTTGCTCCCTTGGAATAACAGCCTGCGTGCTATTCTGATTTCAGATCTAACTGTGGACTTAGACTTGGCCTGTTTCTGCACTTTATATAAATGGAATCAAACGCATGATGGGTCTAGGTGCTTTTGCAGCACGATAAGTGCGAGAAGAAAATGTTTGTGAGCCACATCCAGGTTGCAGCCTGTAACTTGTTCACATTGCTGGGTAGCGTGCCATTGTTGGCATATAATACAGTTTATTTTCCTAGTCTACTATTGGACATTTCAATTGTCTTTAGCTTTTTCCTACCATAAACAATGGTCCTTTAAACATTTTTATAATACATCTAGTGGTGCCCATGTTACAAGTTCTTTGTGGAAAATATATCAAGGTTAGAATTGCTGAGCATGGCCTGTATACATACATCTTCAGTTATTCAAGATAGTGCCAAATACTGTGCATTTAAAATGATGACATTTTGTCAAATTCCTCTCCATAGTGGCTATATTCCTTCATTCATATATATATGTTTCTTTCTTTTTTTTTTTTTTTAAAATTAGGAACATCCTAATGAAATTGCCTGTCTTAAAAAACAAACACACAAACTACAGTGGACCCTTGAGTTACAACTGGCCTGACATACAAACAACTTGGGTTACGACTGGAATTTTAGTTTTAACTTACAGCCAAAGTCTTGAGTTACAACCCATATTCTGGCTGTTTGTGCTTCCAGATGGTCTCAGATACAGATTTAACCCTTAAAGAGCTCTGGAGGGAACATTACACCATCCTTTCCTGGGTGGGGTTCATTGAGAAATCCTGGGCCAGTGTCTCTAAGGATACAGAGATCTGCCTGATACAGGAGAGAGACTTTGAAGGCTGTGTAGAGGAGCCTGAGCTTTCAGTTGACCAACTTGAATTACAACCGGCCCTGGGAACAAATTAAGTTCATAAGTGAAGGGTCCACTGTACCTGTCTTCCCAACCCCTCACTCATATAGTGATTTATCAGGTTTTTTTCTTTGCCCATGTAATAGGTACAAAGAGGTATCGTATTGGAGGTGAGTTGATACTTAAGACTCTATCATATAAGCAAACCTAATTAATGCTTGGTTTTCTTTTGCAGCCCGAGAGCTCAGACCATTGTTCCCTGCCCGAGGACCTGGTGAGTACTTCTGCATATTCTGGATTGAAGTTAATTGTCTTTGATGTTAAGTACTCTAAGCAAATGAGAGTAACACTTTGTGAATTTCTGTTTATTTGGTTGCTGATTAAAAGACTTTTCAATTGAGCATGGTAACAGATACCGGCAGTAGTAGTATTACGGAGACAATTTTGCACCCAGAAGAATCTGAAGTTTAGGGAAGAGGCTGTATTCCTGAGATAGAAGAGCTTAAGAAAATATTGGCAGAGTCCTTGGATGCTCATCTGTCACTTAATTTTACATTTAGTTAAGAGAGAGTCAAGTTGAGGCTTACAGTCATAACTGTCGCCCTTCCCCTCTTTTCTTCCTGTGAATTCTAGAGTCGAGGCAATTTCTAGATTATCAGTAAGTGCATGGGCCTCCTTAACAACTTAACACAAACTGGGAAGCTGAGACAACAGCAGTGTATTTGCTCACAGTTCTGGAGACTAGAGTCTGAAATCCGGGGGCTAATGGGCCATGGAGATCTTCCCTTGCCTCTCCTGGCTCCTTGTGGTTGCCAGCAGTGGTTGGCATTTGTTGGATGGCAGATGCACTGCTCCAGGCTCTGCAAGCATTGTAGAGTCTTGGCCTCTTCCCCTGTGTGTCTCCCCTTGTCTGTATCTCTTCTCACCAAGGACTCTAGTCATAGTGAGTTTAGGGCTCCCTCTAATCCGGTGTGACCTGGTCATAACTACTAACATCTGCAAAGACCCTATTTCTTTTTTTTGTTTGTTTGTTTTGAGACTCTCACTGTGCAGTGTAGGCTGGCCTTGAACTCATGGTGATCCTCCTACCTCAGCCTCCCCAGTGCTGGGATTATAGGTGTGTGTGCACCACCATGCCTGGCCTACATCACATTCTGAAGTTCATGGTGGACTGAACTTTTGGGGGAACAGTAAGCTAATACAATGGGTATTTGATTAAATATGCTAATAAATCAAATATATTGATTACAGTTTCTTCAGTTGTATATGTGAGAGGGAGATTTTTGTTGGTATATTGACACTATGGTAACCAAGAATCTGGGATTGGCGACTAACTAGCAAGAGGAAGTGTTAGTTTAATAGTCATTCCTAGTTTCTCCTACACCATGCAGGAGTTGGGTTGGAGCATCCTTGAGTAAGCGCTAGAGAAGAAACTGGGGCTCACAGCAAGACAGCAGGACTTCGGTCGGTTCTGACTCAGTTTCCCTACTGAGCCACATGACCCAGGAAATGGAAACGAATAGGAACAGACTGGATTCATGGTTTGCCAGGGACCTGCCCTCTACCCAGTGTGGTCCACATGTCAGGAGCTGAATACTCAGTTGCTGTTTCCTTGGGTCTGAGCTAGGAAGGCAGGTGGGTAGAGTCGGGCTTGGTGTGCTGGGGAAGAGGTTGGTGCACCCATTCTTTGGGTGCAGCGTGGGCTGGTCAGGGGTAGGCCACTGTAAAACAAGCACCGAGGGCAGACATTTTGCAGACACAGATGCCATTGGGCTGGACAAGTGAGATGAATGTGTGAAGCAGCTGGATGTATGTTAGAAGGGGCCTGTGGTAAACTGAAATATGTTCCCGATTTGGACTCTGGAAAGCAAACACAAGGCATCTCCAAACTGGATTCATGCTTAGATTACAAGTTCACAGACTTGCATGATGGCAAATGGCATTTGCTTGGAGCCTGGAGTACTAGCAATAGAGAGTCCCTGGGCTCAAGGCTCTTCCGTATCAGAGTCTGAGTATTCTTGGCACATACATTTAAGAGTGCATTTAGTTAGCAAAGACTGACTAACATAAGCATTTGGGGGAGTGTTGCTTTAGAAGCCGCATGTGTTTTATTTTCATTGCAGTAGTCACTATGGTGTGCTTTGATCCATATATAAGTCACCCCTGGAATGTGATCACACATTTGAAGACCAACTATAGCTGCTTTTGTTTCTTTCTGCAGTTAACTGGTGGTAGTGTGCTTTTTCCTCCAACTCTTTTCAGTAGCTTTTGGCAAAAAGCAATAATGTTTTAAAAAAGCAGTCAGTCATGCTTGACTGCTGCTTAGGATAAGGCTCACTTTTTCAGTTGCAGTTCTCTTGCGATCCCAAGTGAAAAGGAGAGCTGGATGATAAAGGATTATTGCACAGGGATACATTTTCCACTCAGACTTGCAAACAGGCTAACCATGTAATAAATGGATGCATTTTGGAAGACTTAACCTGGTGCGATAATTTGGGAGGAGAGGCTGAATATTGGGAAGAATTTTGCCTGGGAAACATTGTCTCCAGGTATCCCAAGCCATTTTTGTTTTTAAACCTGCATGTGCAGAACTCATACAGAATTAAGTAAGTGGGGGAAAGAGGCAGAGTATTAGGGTTAAGGATGAATGAAATGAGGATAACCATCTGTCCTTGGCATAATCTGCACATGGATTTCCTGTCTGCCCTTGTCTCTCTGCCTCTTGCCGGTGAATTTCAGAGAGTGTCAGAAGTTTCCAACCACTGGTGGTACTCCATGCTCATCCTGCCTCCTTTGCTGAAAGACAGTGTGGCAGCGCCTCTGCTCTCCGCCTACTACCCTGACTGCGTGGGCATGAGCCCCTCCTGTACCAGCACAAACCGCGCCGCCGCCTCTGCCACCACAGCCACCACCGGTGATGCCAGCCCGGGGAGGCTGGAGCCCTCCAAGGTGGCCCCTTCTGTGCTTGGTGAGAGCTGTCCTGGTCTCCCCCCCCAACCACAAATGTAGGGAAAAGCAAAAGGCAAAAGATTAAAAAAAAAATTCCAGTCATTGTACAAGCACCTCATTATTTCATGTGCTTGTTTACATCCACATCACATCACTGATTCAACCAATCTGCTGGATAGAAAATGTCTGGCAGAAAAATTGTTTGTACTAAACATAAACAGGCTTTCTGTTGTCACCATTCCCTAAACAATACAGCACAACTGTTTACATGACATTTATATTGTTAGGTATTAGAAGTAATTGAGAGATGATTTCAAGTATGCAGGAGGCTGTGTCTAGGTTATATGTAAATACCGGGCCACTTTATATAGGGCACTTGAGCAGCCAGGGATTTTTATCCCTGGGAGGTCCTTAATCAGTTCTCCAAGGACACTGAGGCACGATGACTGTGCTGTACATCAGTCCAATCACTGGCAGTGTGCAGTTAGGTTTTCCCTCAGAAACTTGGGCAACGCATAACATTAATCGATTAATTACCTACAGGATTTAATGAGTGTTGAATTGAAAGTTGGATAGCTATGTAAGTTAATGAGTACAGGAACTCTGACTTACCAGAAGAAAGTTTTGAACTGTATGAGCAGTGCTTTTTTCTCTCTGCCTCTAATGATGCCACTGATGACCCAACTCAGAATTCAGAACATCAGATAAGGGTAGGCATGTTGCTGACTGTTGACTGTAAAGGAAGGAAGCTTTAAGATCCTGTATCTTCTACCATCTGTACATGAACAAACTGCATTTTTGATGGTGCAAATAGATTTTTACATTGTAGCCCTATCTCTAAATAATAACACTGGACCCTCTTAAAAAGTGCATGTGAAGATCAAAGTTAAGGTGGTAATTCCTACGGTTAAGGAAGGTGTGATGTGATAGCCCTGAAATTCCATTAGTGAAAGTGCATTTACGAAGGACAATTTGGCAGTGTGCGTCAAAAACCTTAATATAGATTCCCTTTGACTCAGTAGGTATCCCTATTGGCCCTGTAGGAAGGTATCCTAAATAATTGAATGAGTGAAGAATCTTACGTGTAAAGAAATTCGCTTTGGCATTGTTTATAATAGCAGCATTATACTATGTAGCTATTGAAGTCTTGTTTATTGATGTGGGGAAAATGTTCATGGTATTGTAAATTTTAAAAAGCAGGTTAGAGGGCCAGGGATTTAGCTCAGTGGCACCTTGGCTGCCTCACAAGCGCAAGGTCCTAAGTTCAATCCCTGGTACCAAAAAAAAAAAAAAAAAAGCAGGTTAGAAAAGAGCACTTTTATAGCATTTCCCCCAGCTTCGTAAAGGCAAATGTCTGTTATATTCTCTAACTAGAGGGACAGAGTGTCCCCCTGCCTGTAAGCCCATCCTTGGAACACAGTGATTATTCCGTTTTATAATCGGAAAATGCCAAAGAAAAATACTTTGGAAGTACATTTCCATGAGGAGCAGCTGTTTATTGGGTATAGTTTTAGTCTCAGAGGATGAAAAAGTTCTAGAGACCTTTTGCACAGCAGGGTGAATATACTTACAGTTTAAATGGTTAACATGGTAAGCTTTGTGATGTACATTTTCAGCACAATTAAGAAATGGTTTTAAAATTTCCCCACCATGGAAATTAAGGGTGTGGATTACTTGAGAGAGATCGGGGAAGTTGTTTCGGCCATGTGTGAATTGCCCACTTGGGTGGAAGAAGCGAGTCTTCATGTAGGATAGAAGTGGAGCTTGTCCGTGCTGACCTTCTTGGCTTGCTTTTGCTCTTCAATTCTCTGGAATTTGGAGTTGCAGCTTGCAGGAGGTCCGGTTGTGTCTGCTCTCAGTTCCAGGCATGAATCGGTACTTCCAGCCTTTCTACCAGCCCAATGAGTGTGGCAAGGCCCTGTGTGTGCGGCCCGATGTGATGGAGCTGGATGAGCTCTATGAGTTTCCTGAGTACTCCCGAGACCCCACCATGTACTTGGCTCTGCGAAACCTCATCCTCGCCCTGTGGTATACGAATTGCAAAGTAAGTGAGGCTGTGCTGGCTGTGAATGTGGGTGGAGCACTTCACTGAAGGAGAGGCTTTGCCACAGGGATGGAACCTTTACTGCAGTCTTGACACTCTTACCATTTGGGGCAGATAACTCTTTTGTGGAGCAGGAGATGCTGTCCTATGCACTGTAGGACATTTAGCAACAACCCTGCCCTCTACCACTAGATGCCAGTAACACCTGCCAGTTGGGACAACCAAATACATGTTGAGTAGCCCTTATCCAAAATGCTCTAGGCCAGAAATGTTGCAGATTTTGAGTGTTTTCCCCCCAGATTTGGAGTATTTGCCTAGTCTTTGACAGTTGAGCATCCCTGATTGAAAATATCTCTGAAATTCTCCAAAATCTGAAACTTTTTGAGCACTGTGTCAACACACAGACTTTAGAGCATTTCAGATTTTAGATTCTTGGATTAGGGATGCCCAAGTAGTATGTTTCCAGATGCTTCCAAAGGGGGATACAATCACCCCTGTTGAGAACCATCACCTTAGACCAAAGGCAATCAGAATGCTCACTCTAGGGAGTGAGGGTAAGGCTCAAGGTTTGGTCCAGAGACTTCTGGTGCCAGTGACAGGGGCAACACACATCAAAGATTAGATTATAAGTCCTTGAGCACAGGGAATAAGTTTAATTCATCTCAGTCCTGAGTGAACCAAGATCATTGCTTTTCTCTCTGCGGGGCCTGAGTAAATGTTAGGGCCCCACACAGCTCTCACCTTGAAAGGGTGAAGATAATGGACTTGGGAGGGCGCAGGAATACAGTTTTTATTTGTTTGTTTTTAAATAAAAATGGATTCCCAGCCCTAGTATTTTTCTGATTGATTTATTTAGCTTTGAATTGAATATAGAAGATTGTGGAGGACTACAAAAGTAGTCTTGATTAAAGAAAGATCGTCCAGCTCTACCCTGATACTTTACTAGGTTAGAATGCAGTATGAGATGATGATTAAGTTGTGTCTGTTAATGCAATTCATGTGAATTATACCCACGAAAGTGACTGCTAATTTCTAATGTTGTAGGACTACTCATTTCTAATAGAATCTAAAAGAAAAGGTCCTAATTAGTTTGGATCTGTTTTGGTTTTTAATAGGAAGATAATATTTATTGTATATATTGATAACCTAGTGAAAAAACATATTTGCTGTAAAATAATTGAAGACTTGCAATGATTTTGTTTAAACTTCATGAATACAAACATTTGCCTTTTGCAGCAGTCCATGCTGACATTGTGCATGTTATTTCTTGAATCCTTCAAGTGCGTAGTCACCTTTCTGTGTTTAATCAGTCTGGTGGAGCAGGGGGTTGTTGACAAGTAGAGGATAAGCCTGGGATTGGGGACACCCCCTTGGTGTCTGTTCTAAATGACACATTCTGAGCTGAGGCTGAAGATTCTTCACTGAGTTTGAAATGGACCAGTATCTTTCGAAAGCTGGGGCAACCAAGGAAGGTATAAGTTCTAAACTGGTACACCCATCTGCTCCTAGTGGTGACACCCACCTTTACCTGCTACCATAACCTGGATTTCTATAGCAGCCTGGATTTCTAGTGACCTTTGAGCTGGGAAGGTGACATGGTCTACCCCCATGTCCCTTGTAGCAGTCATTCTCTGAGAGGAAACTTAGGTTGCAGTGTAAATTACTGCATCATTCATTTGTCCCTTTTTTCTTTTTTTATTCTTGACCAGAAAAACCTTCCTTTCTTTTTCCTGTCTTAGTGATAAATATTAAATGTGAGTTATTCCGAGAGTATTATTGTTATTATTATTATTATTATTGTAGTAAAATATACAGCACACTTTACTGCTTTAACCATTGTGAAACATACAATCCAGGAGTATTACATATATAGACAGTGTGGTACAGCCATCACAACTGTCTAGATTCAGAGCATTTCATTATCCCAAGAGGAAACCTCGTACCTAGTCACTTCCCATCCCCACCCAGGCCCAGTCTTTGGTAACCACTAATCTACTTTTTCTCTCTGTCAGTTGGCCCATTCTGGATATTTCATGTAAATGGAATCATATAATATTTGGCCTTTTGTGTAGCTCTTCCACTTAGTATAGTGTTTTCAAGGCTCGTCCATACTGAGGCATGTATCAGAATGTCATTCCGTTTTATGATAGAATAATATTCCATTGTGTAGATATATCACATTTTGGTCATCCTCTCATGCATATTGCATTGTTTCCACTGTTTGGCTATTTGAATATTTCTGCTATGAGCATTTTCTTTGGGGTATTTGCCTAGGAGTGGAATGGCTAGATCATAATAATTTTATGAGGAACCAAGATTTTTTAAAAAACAATTTATTGTTAAGTTGACAAATAAAAATTATATCTGTGTATGGTATATTACATGACCATTTTGAAATGTGTATATATTATGGAATGGCTAAGTCAAGCTGTTTAATATGTGCTTACATATTTTTTTGTTGTGAGAACATTAAAAAATCCACTCTCAGTAATTTTCAGGTACGTAATACGTGTTACTATTGTCACTGTTATACAATAGATCTGCTGAACTTAACTGAAATTTTTACTCTTTGACTTATACTTTCTCACTTGCCGCCCTGTGAGCTCCCACTGTGCTCTAAACTTCTATGAATTCATTTTTTAGATTCTGCATGTAAGTGAGATCATGGAGGATTTGCCTTTCTTTCTCTGGTTTGTTTCATTTGACATAAGGTCCTCTAGGTTTATCCATGTTATGGCACAGGACAAGAGTTCCTTCCTTGTTAAGGCCAAATAACATTACATTGTATAGATATACTATTTTTTTTCACTCTTCATTCATCAGTTGATGGGCATTTAGTTGATTTCATGTCTTGGCTACTGTAGTGCCACAAGGAACATAGGGGTACAGCCATCGCAGTGACGTACTGATTTTGTTTCCTTTGGGTATATGCACTGTAGTGAGATTCCCAGATCCTGTGGTAGTAGTATAATTTTTTTGCAGAGCTTCCATTCTGTTTGCACAACAGGTATACTGATTTGCATTCCCACCATCGGTGTGCAAACGTGCCCTTTTTCCATATCTTCCCAGCCCTTGGCACACCCGCCCCCATGCTGGGGATCAAGCCAGACCCCTGTGCATGTGAGGCAGTTGCTTTGGTGCTGATCTGCATCCCCAGTCTTCTTTAGCTTTTTGGATAATAGCCATTTAGTGAGATGATGCATCGCTGTAGTTTGACTTTCCATTTCCCTGGTCATCAGTGATGTTGAAAACTTTTTTCATACACTTGTTGGCCACATATATGTCTTTTGAGAAATGTCTATTTAGGTTCTTTGCCCCCTGCCTTCTTCTTGTGGTTCTGGGGATCCAGTTTAGGGCCTCATCTCTCGTCCCAGCTCCTACTTTTTCCATTCTTTAGTTGGGATATTTGTTTTCTTGCTATTGATTTTGAGTACCTTGAGTTTTTTTGTTTTTTTTTTTTAACAGTTTGGTTTCATTTCCAAACACAGGAAGCTCTTACTCCTCAGAAATGCATTCCTCACATCATCGTCCGGGGTCTTGTGCGCATTCGGTGTGTTCAGGAAGTGGAGAGGATACTTTATTTTATGACGAGGAAAGGCCTCATCAACACAGGAGTTCTTACCGTGGGAGCCGACCATTATCTTCTTCCCAAAGACTATCACAATGTAGGTGACTGGCTTCGGTAATATTACTGCCGTTCATCATGATAAAATACTAGGGTGTTTGCTGTTAGTAATACTAGTAAAAACCACATCATCATAAGACTTATACAAGCAAGAATTTTATAGAATATGTTTCTCCAAAGAGGAGACTATCGAGTATAGTTTCTCCAGACTGCAGAAAAAACAAAGTGGTGGTGAGGGTTAAATAGTACTATCAGGGCTGGGCATTTAGCTCAGTAGTTTCGCCATCTGCTGCGCAAGTGCAAGGACCCTAGTTCAATCCCTGGTACCAAAAAAAAAAAAAAATAGTACTACCATAGGTACTTCATGTTCTTTAGGAATATAACTTTCTAAGGACTTCAAAAAAATATAGATGAGCTAATGTTGCTTGGTAGTTAGTACCTTCCAGAATGACTGTAACAATACATTGTCATCCTTGCTCTAATTGGAGTTTTGGTTGTTTTTTCCAGAAATCAGTCATCATTGTTGGGGCTGGTCCAGCAGGGTTAGCTGCTGCTAGGCAACTGCATAACTTTGGAATTAAGGTAAGATTTTGGAGATGTGTCGGTGGAAATAGATGGTTAATTGCTCCTTTGGTCCAAATTTTGTAAGACTTAGAAACCAGATCCTAATTTTAATGAAGAATATTAAATGCATTATGTCTTTACAACAGGCCCTAAAAAAGTTACAGGATTTGAAATTGATTTAACAAAAGAAAAGTAAAAAAAGATAGAAATTCTCACAGCTTCAGATAGAGTTTTAGACACTCATGAGCAAGTCAGAAGAAATACTAACTTGATTTTAAAGCAGAATTAGATCATCATTAACACAGTAGAGGAGATAGTTTGAGACAAATATAGCATGGAAATTCACTAGTTCTTAGATAAAAGTTTCTGAAATACTCAGTTTTTCTGATGCAAACCAAGGATATGCTTTGAATCTTAGTCTGGAAAAGAAAAGATCTTTGCTTTGGGAAGCGATTCATTGGATGAGATAGAATTATATGGCTTTTGTGGTATAATAGGTATTTAAGGGCAGCTTGCCGTTGCCAATTTTTTAATTCCAGTTGTTCACAAGTGGCCAAAATAGAGCCCATGACACAAAAAATTGTGTGATTCAATATCTAATTTCTGTTAAATCTATTCAGTCACCTGCTAGATACTTTTTTTTTTTTTTTTTTTTTTTGCAGAAGACGGCATATTTTTTTTTTTTTTTTTTTTTGGTACTGGGGATCAAACTTGGGTTCTTGCGCTTGCGCAGCAGGTGGTGAAACCACTGAGCTAAATCCCCAGCCCACCTGCTGGATACTTTGATTTGCTACTTCTGAGGTATTTCTCCTTGTTCAAATTTAAGTTGCAAGCACTTTGGTAGAATTTCATTTGTGTTTTCACTGTTCTCTCTCTGGCTAAAAGAAGTGATGCTTTGTTTTTTACAACATCTTCTCCACCTCCACTGGAAGGTTTTTTTTTTTGGTATCAGGAATATAACTCAGGACCTTTTGCTTGCAAGGCAGGAGCGGTGCCACTGAGCTAAATCCCTGGCCCCCACCAGAAGGTTTTTGAGACAAGTTTCTGAGAATAGTTTACCATAGCTGTGGCTAAGAGAAATTTTTCTCTCATTGGACTGAAAATCCCATGTGAAGATTGCATTATGCTGCTGGCAAAGCAGGAGTCTGAGTTTGATTTATAGGAAGTGTGTTTGCTTTTGAAATATTTTCTTTGTGGTATTAAACTAGGAAGTTGTAGGGAACAGGGAAAGGGGATGTTACCAGAACCCCTGCAGTGGGTCCTGGTCTCCTGTGAGCCATGACAGCACAAGGCAAATTAAAGAATAAAGACAGGGGCGGGGATTTAGCTCAGTGGTGCCACCTTTCAAGCACAAGGTCCTGAGTTCGATCCCTGGTACCAAAAAAAAAAAGAATAAAGACAGGAAATGAGACTTAGAGAAGAGGCTGGGTTCTGGACCTGATCAGTGCTGCTCTGGGCAGCAAAGACACGGGCACCCTGAGCTTGCCACTATTTATTGGGTTCATAGGAAGTAACAGAGGACTCCGCGAGCAGTGATAATCCTAAATTAACAAGAATCTTATGGTCAGAAGAACTATCAGATGTCTCAGAGGGTAATGGTAATCCTATGACCACGAGGATCTTAGGTGAATGAGGAGTTTAAGTTGATTTAGGACGGTAAAAAGAGCAATGATGTTCTTAAAATGGTAGGTGGGGATGAGTTAAGCTAATAAGGAGTTTGTCCCTCTTCAGGTGAAACCTTTCTCTTACTACTGGGTCCTCAAAGAACCAGGGTGTCTGCAGCTGATGTAATCTTGCCCTTGAGGGTCATAGCATCACGGGACCATTGAGGTCTCTGCTGTGACCAGAGTCAAAAATGGAGTTATGTTTTGGCATGTCATAACTGGCCTATAGGCAAGAAGACTAGGCCTAATCATAATTTAATTGCGAAATGATTTTTCCCCAAAATTTCGTAGAATGGCTCCTGACAGGAAGTATTTTAAGTGATTATTTATTTCAACATTAGATAATAGGGCCAACACTTTTTGTTGTGTTTTACTTGGGAAACCTACAGAATATACTGCAGGTAGGGTTATTAATTCTCAGAGTCTACAGAGGCTATCTTTAACATTTAGCCTTCCTCTTCGAGGGAAAGAAGTGAGAAACATGGTATGGTGTTCAGCTTAAGTCAGAGTAGGGGGTTGGGGAGCGAGGAACCACGAGCTTAGCCTTCCTAGTTAGAGGAATTGTTTAGGCCTTGCTACTCTCCTCAAGCGATGAGGGAGACAGCTGGGGGACCATCCGTTCCCCTAAAGGTTGGGAAATAGAAATCAATTCCTGTGAGTAACCCAAGAGATGGCTGACCCTTCTTGAGCAGTTCAAAGTAGTGCTTTTAGGGATCCAGAAACAAAAGGGCTGGTCTTGGAATAAATAAGGCTCACATTTTCAGCATATGCAACCCAGGGACTGAGGCACGTAGAATTCCAGGGCTGAGGTGAGATGTGAGCAGCTTATTGTCCCCACGCATTAGAATTGTGAAGATAAATAGCCTGGCAGTCAGGCTCACTTGGTTGGGCTGACTCCTGAGGTCACCCTTAGACACAGTGGGGCAGTGTTTTAAAAAAAAGAATAGTCATGCCATAGGTACTTAGGGTCTGTTTGCAGCACTAAAGGAATTTTCCTGTATGCATAAATATTTCATAGGAAGATGAGCTCCTTAACCAAGTCGTTCATTTCACTTATGAAAATGTTACTTACTGAACGCTTTCAAAGTTCATTTTGTGTATTAGCTGGTGAAATCTGGTCATTGCCTGGTTGGGGAGGACACAGTGGGAGGGATTCCTCCAGCAGTCAGGTTCTCCTCACCAGAACCAGAATTGTTCTGAGCATCTGCTTTGGGTTCTGTTCAAACAACTAAAGTTACATCTTGAGAAATATAATAGATTATGGAAGCAATTTAACACCATCATTCTGCATTTTGTGATACTCTACCTGGTATGACCCTTCTGTCCTACTTATTTATTTATTTAATTGGTACATTTTAGGTATACAGTATAATGACATTCATCATTGGGAATTTGCACCTTTACGTAGTCTCTCCTGGTTCTTATTTTTTTCCCATTCCCCTGCCCTCCCTATTTACAAAGACTTTGTTTCCATTTTTATTCATTTTCTCATATTAATTCCATTCCCTTCTTTCCTTTCCCCTACCTCTCCCACTTTCCCTCCCCCTTAGCCCCGTTTCTTCCCATTTCACATTATTTATTACCGCTTTTAGTCCTTATTTACACTTTCGTTCTGTCCTACTTAGATGTCCTGCTTGTCTTTTTAGGTGACTGTCCTGGAAGCCAAAGACAGAATCGGAGGCCGAGTGTGGGATGATAAATCTTTTAAAGGTGTCACGGTGGGAAGAGGACCCCAGATTGTCAATGGCTGTGTTAATAACCCAGTAGCACTAATGTGTGAGCAAGTGAGTTTCTTTAAGATTTATATTGTGGACAAAGAAAAGAAAATTTGTCTTGTTTGCTTGTATATAGTACAATATTAGTATGCATCTGGGGATGTAGCTCATTGGTAAGAGCTCTTGTCTGGCAGGTGTGAGGACCCAGATTCCATCCTCAGCAGCCGCAAAAAAAGATGCACAGTGTTAGTGTCCTTCCAGCCTAGGCAACATATGGCAGGCTTTCATCCTCTCTGCACAGTAAATAGGAACAAGGAAAATTCTCCTTTTCTGGGAAAACATGTGAAGAAATTTTTTTCCCAGAGCTTTAATTTTATTTATGTGTTATTTGCAGGCCACTTGATTAGTTAGTAATTTTAGGTTGCCAGATTCAGCAGATAGAACAATAGGGCTCTTAGGTTTTTGGTGCAAATTTATCCTAAGTATTTCATTGGAACCAGGGCCTGGTGGCATACACCTGTAATCCCTCCACTGGGAGAGGATGAGACAGGAGGATCACAAGTTCAAGCCCAGCCTGGGCAACTTAGTGAATTAGCAAGACCTTCCCCCCCCAAAAAAAAGAAAAAGAAAAAAATGGCAGTGGGGCTGGGATATAGGTCAGTGGGAAGGCCCTGGCTTCAGTCCCCTTACTGAAAAAAAATTACATGGGATATTTTGCATGCAGTGTTTGGGGCCTACGTAGTACTTAAAAAAAGTATTATCTGAAAGTGAATTAACTGGGCATTCTGTCTGTTACCTGGCAAGCAGCCTGGTTGGACCAAGGTTTTTTCTTAGATATTTATTGATAGTAAACCAATTCCAGCTTCTGTGAAGGTTTGGGTGTTTGTGTGTTTGTTTCCTTGAGAGTCCACAGAGGAGGCAGAGCGTCTGATGAGGGCAGTACCTGGCAGCTTAGGGCACATGGCATGGAAGCTCTGGCTGTCACCTTCAGGTTCCGTGCTGTTTCCTCGCTGCCGCCCTTTGTGGCCATTCCCCATGAAGCACATTCAGCTTTACTTCTGAGTTTTTTCCATGACAGCTCTAATTGCAGCTTAGAACCTGTGAATATTTTTTCCTTGGGAAAATGTTCACCTTCTTATTCTTATTATTTTGAAGCTTGGCATCAGCATGCATAAATTTGGAGAAAGATGTGACTTAATTCAGGAAGGTGGAAGAATAACTGACCCCACCATTGACAAGCGCATGGATTTTCATTTTAATGCTCTCTTGGATGTTGTCTCTGAGTGGAGGAAGGATAAGACTCAGCTCCAAGATGTCCCTTTAGGAGGTATGGGGAGAACCGTGTTCTGGTTGTGTGTCTCAGTGTCGCTCTAAGCTGGTTGAGTAGCAGCACTGGCCCTCTGCAGTAGGGCAGATCCTTACAAGAATACTCTGGTGGCCTCGGATGCTCCTCCCTGTGCCTCCACACCTGACCCTTACTTTGCCCAATAGCTGGCATTTTACACAGTCATCTAAATGTTTAATTTTAAATCGCTCAGAGGAGCTTACTTTTAAGGAAACATGGTAAGCCCTATGTGAATAATTGTCACCTTGTGACGTGTTTTCTAGATAAAGGTTTCAGTGGACCAGGATTTTTCTTTTCCTGAGGCAGTAGGTTATGAGTTTTTTCCATATATTTTGCTTAAGAGAGGGTATTATAATGTAAGAATTTAAATTCAGAATCTTTTGGTTTTGGTGGTTAAATGTACAGCATTAACCACAGTTCAGTGACGCTTGAGTGCCCACAGTGACTCATTTCCCTGAGGGTGCCAGCTGAGGTTTAATATGCTTAAGTTGATATTTATGTAACCTACAATTTGGTGACCTGAATGTGTTCATTTGTAGTTCTTGGAGGGATGGTATTTATTGAGGTGGGACCATTTAACCTCAATTTGTAAAATGTTTATTTGCTTCGATTCTATGTTCTTTTGCAAAGGGGGAATCTTAACTTCTTTAGACTGATACATGTTTCATTTCATTTGGGGTAAACATCTCAGTAGTGGGCATAGTTTGTCGCTCCTTTTTCAACTTCCCTCTGAGAGACTGACCGCTAGGCTGGTCACTCTGGGAAAGTGTCAAAAGACAGATCTTAACGAAACGTTTTCAGAAATAAACTCCAGTCCACAGACAACTCTGAATCAAATGCTGTGGTGTCCAGACCAAGGGGTCACTTGTTAAGTTTTCTGGAGTTGACAACAGTTACTAGGCTGATTTGCAGGATGCTTTCAGAATTTGTGTTGCCCCTGTCTGGTAGCTGCTAGCTGGGATTTTTTTCACATTTTTGAGTTAAAAATGTAAAAAATTGATGATATGCTTTGCCTTGGCCCTTTAAAAAGTTACTAAGGGAGGTCCGGCAATATTGTATAAGTAATTTTTCATCTTAATTGTTTGTGACAAAGTGTTCATGGTAGTATACTTCTCTGTATAAAGGTTATAGTTACATTCTACCTGTCAGCATCTTGGCCACTAAGATCTCACTTTAGTACCATGTAGCCGAAAAAAACACAAAATATAAGTACTAAGAGTCATCCAGAGTTCACTTCACAAAGCATGTGTCCTAAGCCTTTTAAATGTTACTCACATAAAAATTGTATTAAGACCTTTCCCATTCTGTTTATACATAATTTTGTATTCTGTTTTAACAGTCTTGATTCTTTGCCCTCCTCCAAAGTGACAGGTGGAAGACATAACAAGAGGCAGGAATAGGGCTGCTACAAGAGCCTTGACATCTAGGGCAAAAGCCTGGCTCACATCTAGAGGTCTCTTGGGCATCTCCATGTTGCAATGGAGTATAAGAATTGGAAATTTAACAGGAAGCTTTAGTTGTAGAAAAATACAACAGAAAAAACGTTAATGTACTCAGCTCTGTTTCTAGTTGGCATGATGCTCTGCAGGAACTTGGAGTTTGCCACGCATGCATTGGGTGGTTATCATTACTAGAAAATTCAGAGAGAAGTCACCTGTACTAAGATGCTTGGAATTAGACCTGAAGCCTGAACCCTCCTGCCACCTACCAGGTCCCCAGTTATGAAAACAGCTGAAATGATTTCCCAGTGCTGTGCTTATGTAAAGTTCTAGTTAGGTGGGATAGGTAAGTGCTGGGGCTGGTGACAGGAATCACCGTAGGGGCCTATAGGGCAGGGTGGAAGGGGATGGGGTGGGAGAGGGGCATGGGAGGAGCAGGCCCTGCAGGGCTGGACTTTACCAGGAAGATTAAGCAGCTGCTCAGCACAGGTAGCAGTCACCACCTTGGAAAAGACTAGTATGTGCTGCGCCTGCTGGGTCACAGCTTTTAAAATCTATTACCCAGTCCACAGGAAGCAGTTATTAAAGGTATTGAGGCAGAGGGCCAACATGGTGACAGTCCATAGGGAAATATTCCTGACCGGGAGAGACTATAGCCAGTAGTTTATCGTAGGTCTCCTAGTTGAGGCAAGATATTACAAGAACTTGACTTTGGGCCGGAGATTTATCTCAGTGGTTCTGCTGCCTGCTTCACAAGCGCAAGGTCCTGAGTTTGATCCCCGGTAACAAAAAAAAAAAGAACTTGACTTTGAGGAGATGGCAGTAGGACCAGAAAGGGAGTGGTAGACCTCTTTGTGTATTGGTATCTTTGGGCGGGGGCGGGGGGGGGGGTTTCTATGTCTTGAGCAAAAGAAGCAAGTTTTTCTTTTTTTTTTAAAAAAGAACATTTTATTTTAAAATGCACAAAAACTCCCAGTTTGTTTCAGTTGTTGCATGTAGATGGCTTTATATTGCTTTTTTGATGATCATCAGTGCTGAGCCAGAGTTTTCAATCCTCAAAACATTCAACAGAGCTTCTGCACTGCACATCATTCAGCAGTCCAAGTGTCTTTGATTTGTTTTACATTTGGTGTAGATTTCCTGATGCAGATGTTCCAAAGTCTTTGGTTGTTTGTGCATTTAGATTTGTGAGCTTCTCCAGTTTGTAAAGGTTTCAGTTCATAGTCAGCTGGCTCTAAGGCAAGGTGGCAGGGCAGAAGGGCTTTGCAGAGGAGAAACAGTCCATGGCAAAGCAGGGCAGGCAGAAGGCAGCAAAGTGGTGAAGTAACAGCAAGCAGCAGCAGCAACAGAAGCTGCAAGTTTTTCAAGTAAGCATAAATGAAACATTTTTGCAGACACAGAACCCCCAGAACCAGGTTTTCAGTAAGACAAGCCTTCATGTCCTGAGATAGATCGACCTTTTAAAGAGATCCCTTTCCCCTGAGTTTACTTGGAGAAAGACTTTGGATGTTTTGGGTGTTGCCAGGTGAAAGATTTTGGACAGAATCATGTTAAAGCTATTTTTCTCTGCTTTGGTCCATTCCATTACAGAAAAGATAGAGGAGATCTACAAAGCTTTCATTAAGGAATCCGGCATCCAGTTCAGCGAGCTGGAGGGGCAGGTGCTCCAGTTCCATCTCAGTAACCTGGAATACGCCTGTGGCAGCAACCTCCACCAGGTGAACTTGGGTTTGTGCAACATGCTTGGAAAATACCTGCTTTTGTGTATGTGCTGCTTGCAGATCTAAATATTGAACTGGTGGTGGTGTGGATAAACAGGCAGGAATGATGGTTGCCCAGAAGTTTGATCACTAAGACCAAGCTGTTAATTCCACACTGGTTTTAACTTTTTTTAAGCCAGTGAAATCCTCCTTCAAGTCCTGCCTGTGAAGATGCTCCATCTATAAAACTGAAGAGAGGAGGGCTGCTGGTGAAGCAGGACAGGGCCATGAGCCTCTTCCTGAGACTGCTTCCCTTTCTTTGTCCTCCACAGAGGTCCCTGGGGTCAGTTCCATGGAACCATGGAGTCTAAAAACACTGTCTTCAAGAAACCAAAATGCAACATCCTTGCACTTCTGACCTGTTTATCTTGTAAAAAATAAATTTAAACTTGTTCTACTGTTTAACCAACTGTGAACCTAGCACTCCAGCATTCTGTATTTTGACTAGAAACTCCATAGATGATTAAATGTATTTCCACTCGATTCTGCATTACAATTGGAATTGCTCCGTTTTCCAAAATCATGCTGGGTTTCACCTTCTGGGGACTTTCCATGTGGAGGGCAGCTAGGTGGCGTATGTACTATGGAGTTGACCAAATGCAGTTTCACCCCATAGAATTCCCCTTTGCCAGAGATGTGAATATACAGAATGAACTCTTTTTTTGGGGTACCAGGTATCGAACTCGAGACCTTGCGCTTGTGAGGCAGGCAGTGGCATCACTGAGCTAAATCCCCGGCCCTAGAATCAACTTTTATATTTTAAAATCAGTGAATGTTATCCATGCCAAAGTCATACAGAATTTTTGTTGTAAGATATACTCTCCGCTGCATTATGGAGAGATTCCCTTCAGCCTGACAGTGGTGTCTGCTTGGGCTGGCCTGTTCCTCCTCCCCTTCCTTGGTGTCTGCCTTGGGGTTGGTGGCCCTGCCATCGTGCTGTGGGTGGCTGCTCCTTCCTGGAGCTGCTTTTGGTGACCGTAGGGTACAGGCTTGCAGACCTACACTGCAGGTCCCCAATGTCTCCTGTTGTTTCTCAGGTTTCGGCTCGCTCCTGGGATCACAATGAATTCTTCGCTCAGTTTGCTGGTGACCACACTCTCCTGACTCCTGGGTACTCTGTAATCATTGAGAAACTGGCCGAAGGGCTTGACATTCGGCTCCAGTCTCCGGTGAGCATTGGGTAGGGCTGAGAGACTCTGGGTTTGCCTTGTCTTAGAGGATGGACGTCCGAGGCGAGTGATTCTTGGCAGACAGGCAGTTGTTCGAGGGCCTTGCCAGTGTCCCCAGTTCTTTCCTGGCACAGTCATAGCCTGTGCTCACAGCACTGTCCCTGTCAGGTCACTGCTGCTCTTTGGAAACGATAGTGGCCCATGTGCATGTTCTTGAATACAATGTTTAAGTTGCTCACAGCCTCTCGAACCCAACACAGCTCATTTTCACTTTTAAATTTTCCTTTCAAATCTTTATCTCAGTGGATTGATGTAATGCATTGTTGCACAAATAGAGATGATTATGTATATTTCACCCTCCACTATATCATAAAGGTTTCCACTATTCTTTTATTTATTTATTTTTTAAAATTCTTTTATTGGTAC